AAGAAGTACTATCGATCATTTAATACGTTTAGAATCATTTGCATGCCACAATAAACAAACAACATGCAGTGGCTATCATTTTCGATCTTGAAAAAGCATATGACACTACATGGAAACATGGTATTTTAAAAGATTTACATTACTTTGGATTGCGAGGTCGTTTGCCTCAGTTTATATCCAACTTTTTAACAGACAGACAATTTCAAGTCCACCTGGGTTCTACCCTGTCTGATCATTATAATCAGGATCAGGGTGTCCCACAAGGCAGTGTCTTGACTGTCACAGTATTTAGCATTAAAATTAATAGCTCATCGAAAGTTTTAAATGATTCAATTGATGGATCACTTTTTGTGGATGATTTTAATATTTCCTGTCGAAATGTACATGCATACAATAGAAAGGCAATTGCAGCTATTCAGAATTGGTCTTTGGAAAATGGACTTAAATTCTAAAAATCTAAAACAAACTGCATTCATTGTTGCAGAAAAGATCCGGAACTACTTTTAGATAACACTCCTATTAAAGTTGTAGAAGAAGCCAAGTTCCTGGGTATAATTTTCGATCACCATTTGACATTTCTGCCTCACATTAAAAGTTTGAAGAATAAATGTCTAAAGGCCCTGGACTAACTGAAAGTTGTCTCATATTCTAAGTGGGGAGGAGATCAGAAAACCCTCCTTCAACCATACATAGCACTTATCTGCTCCAAACTAGATTATGGCTCGATCATTTATGATGGAGCTTGTAAAAGCAATTCAAAATTCTGAGGCTTTGCCTTGGATCTTCCGAACTTCGCCGATACAAATCTGTATGTGGAGGCTGATGAGCCGTTCCTTAAACAACGTCGCATTAAATTATCTTTGCAAAATACCTCTAAATTACGTTCTTTGAAATCGAATCCAGCTTATGATTGTGTTTTGAATCATCTATACGTGAGTGAGTGAGTTGGGTTTAACGCCGCTTTTAACATTATTCCAGTTATATCACAGCGTGTCAGCTTAATGTGGGAGGAAAGCCCGAAGTGATGCCGGTCTCAGACGTTTACAACTTCGGTGAAACCCACGAGCATGGGTATGGTGCTGACAAACCTATAAACATAATCGGTGCGAACCGGGATTCGAACCCACAATCATAGTTTTCTTGCGTGCCCAATGGACGCAACTCTGCACAGCGAATCGCGACGCCTTAGATGAATGGGCCACCCGTGCCTTCTAATCCTCTACACGAAAATCTCTACCGAACAAAATCATCTCTTATTCCACCTCTTGGAATAAGAATACAATCTCATATTTCTGCTGAGCAAATAAATCTTAAACACATTGCCCCCACTCAGCTTTTCTCTTCTCCACCATGGCAGTTTGTGAAGCCAGAGGTGGACCTAACATAAACTAAAGTGAAGAAATCTGACACAAATCAACTACTTTATAAACAGCAATATAATGAATTACGAATCACTTATGATACTTACAAATCTATATTTACAGATGGATCCAAAGATGGTGACGCTGTTGCCAGTGCCACTCTCATTGGATCCAGGACTATCTCATCCCGATTACCAGATAACTGTTCTATTTTAACAGCAGAAGAAAATGCTATTTTAACAGCACTCAAATACATCAACAGCCAATCTAAACATAAACAGTTCATATTTTTTCAGATTCTCTTTCTTGCCTCGGGACTATTAAAAACATGTCTTCCACGCATCCACTTTTAATTGAAATTGTTGAATTGTTAATTGATCTTGCCAATACGACATCGTTTTCTGTTGGTTACCCAGCCATGTTGGAATCGCTGGGAACACAATGGCCGATGCTGCTGCAAAAGCAGCACCCAACAAATGTGTGACGCCACTTCGTATCCCATACACTGATATCAAACGTCATCAGATGTTGTTGAAGTAGCGTTATGTAAGTCCCACATAATTCGAAGTATTTTTATGCATGCCAGACATTTAAACGTAGTATTGTCGTCATTTTAAATAAGGCTTAACTGGTAAACTACCGCCAGTGACTAAAGGGATCATATACATGTAAATCCTGCCGGGGCCCATGCAGGAAGCAAAGGCACTGTAAGTCCACATGGTCCCTAGCTAGTATGGTGATCTCCCTTTAGTTACTGACGATCTCTAGCCCATTTATATATTATGTTGTTCACTAATACTTACTGCTTTTATATATTTCTCAACTAGTTTTAAATCGAGTATGTGATACTTTGGCACTGATCCGGCAATCTCAAAGAAATGCATAAGCGCCGTTGTTGCACACAGAGGATGCCCTGGACACGGTGGTAGCGTCACATAATAGAATCTGTCGTTGAACTGAATGGTTTTCGAAAATCGCACGCACAGTACCGCCCCCTTTTTAGTGGACCTCACTTCTGATCGGCACACTGACTTGGCATACTTTGAAGATACAGATCCCGCAGTAACAGTGCTGATTCTTAATAGTCCAAAGAAGCAAACTCGCTAAACCTCAAGAAAACGCACGTCATCTGGCTTGGTTGAGGAAACTTTACAGTAGCATGTTTGGAGTGAAAGGCAATTTGAAGTTAGGGACTGATTCTTTGGACCTCTTGATGCCCTTCAACATCGACGTTACGAGAAATTTGGCCATCAAGGGGTTAGTGAACCCCATCATCAAATACTAGGGAATCGAACTATAAGCATGGGTGCATACAAAATATGCAGCATAGCGACATCTCATCTGAGACGTCTCTTTTTGTCTCTCATATGTTTAATGATATGCATACATACAAAATACATAAAAAAAATGAAAATATTTAAAAAAATATTCCTGACTCTAAGTTATTGCACGGAACAAGTTTATATTATTCGACAACAATCAATCCGGAAACATTGACCTAGTGTACATGTAGCGAGATATTAGCACTTTTGGACAGCGTGAATAATTTACGTGTCTAGCTACAGGAGTAAACATATTACCACGAGGTAACAATCATAGATATGTGTGGTTCATGGTTAAAAATAACAGAATGTTAACAATATCTGCACGTCTCCCACAGATCTACTTCACGATAAAATAATATTAAAACAATGTTGCTATTCATTACTTTAAAATTTGCGTTAAGATGTATTATAAACAGATATTAATAACTCTACCCCTTTGACATATCACTGTCAACAGTATGATGTGATTGTGTGTGATGTTGGTTGTTAACAGTCAGACTGGAGTTACGTCCCTTGGAAAACTGCCATGCTGTCAGATTGTGAACTGCAAATACGGAGCCGTGTGCGATTGCGTGAGTTTGATCGATGTGCTTGAACTGTCTCCGTGTGTAATGCTGCACCCTTCGGTGACCCATGATGTTTTACGTACATATTTGCGTACATGTGATGCATTCATGACCTGAAAGATAAAATCTGACCACGTGCAAGACTGAAACTGTGATGATGTCTGACAGAATAAACATTGCTTTTGAACTTCGGTTTTCGTTCATCGTGCGACAACAACTCCATTGTGTCAAATTAATACCCCATGTTCCTTGAAATTAGACCCGTGAAGATCCGGGGTAGAATAGGTCTTCAGTAACCCATGCTTGTCGTAAAAGGTGACTATGCTTGTCGTAAAAGGCGACTAACGGGATCGGGTGGTCAGGCTCGCTGACCTAATTGATGCATGCCATCGATCCCAATTGCGTGGATCGATGCTCATGATGTCAATCACTGGATTGTGTGGTCCAGACTCGATTATTTTACAGACCACCGTCATATAGCTGGAATATTGCTGAGTGCGGCGTTAAACAACCAACCAACCAACCAATCCTTGAAAGCAATAACACGTGTTTCAGGAATTCATTGTTGTGAACATATTACTAGTTTTGTTTTCATGATATGTTTGTTTTCTACTTTTATGTTACAAATATATCTAGAATATAAAGTGCATTCCTGATTCTGAAGGTACCACATGCAAATAACTGTTTGTTTTATCTTCTGGGTTACACATGTGCGAACCGCCTCCGTGGTCTAGTGGTAGAGCGTCCGCCCGGAGAGCGGAAGGTCCGGGGTTTGATCCCCGGCCGCGTCATACCAAAAGACATTAAAAGATGGTACTTGTTGTTACCCTGTGTGGCGCTCGGCATTAAGGGGCTAAAACAAGGACTGTCGGCTCGGCGTCAGTATACTGTGTCTGAGTGAGGTATTCATGTTAAACTGCGGCATGGTATCTCAGTGAGCTAGCACTTTAAATCGGCATCAGTCCGGACTAGTACAAGCAGCCACACACACACGTGCATGCACATCGTTATGCATGTGCAATAATCTTGGACGCGACGTTAAACCCAATTTCATCTCATCTCACCTCACCTGGATCACAGTTATCTTGTCACTGTTTGATATTGATTCATACACACATACTGATGGTGTATTCCCAAAACCTTGTGAATTGATTTGTCTGGCAAGCTATGGTTGTTGTTTTTACAAAAACCTAAAATACTTTGAAGTTGTGAGCACACAAAGAAAAGCAGGGTACATGGATGACCTCCTGCGATCGATCTGCTGTTGAGAATCTGATGTTGTCATTATGCAGACACGCTGTGATGTAACTGGAATACTGTTAAAAGCGGCGTTAAACCAAACTCACTCACTCACTCACTCCCTGGGATGATTAAATTCATCTTACATACACTCCCTAAATTACGGGGTTTGTGAAAGAGCATTCCTCCTCCATCTGGTTATCTGACGGTTGCTATGCAAGACATGCAAATCTGTCATCACAGTGGATATTTGCGATCGATGTGATGTTCGCTAGCAGATATACACTAATTACCGTTATATATTTATTGTCACTCCTCCTCGTGCCATTCAATGGAGGAATAGTATAATTCGTATTCAATGACACGCTGCTAATTGCACGACTTTACGTCCTATCTTTTCTGATGGGATGTTAAATATTTGCTTATGTTGACTCCAATTTAGACACCATTAGCCCGTACACACCTACTGCGCACTGAAACCTCGATTCTGCAGAGGAGTAGCAGCTGACATGGTGTTCTTCGCCATGAGACCAAGCAAGATTCTTTTGTCATTTGTTTTTGGGGTGTTTATTGGAGGTGCAATCGGCGATGGTAAGTTTCTGCTTTGTTCTCCATTAAATCGGTAAATGTTTTTCCCTTACCACATCATCACTACTTCATATGATGGACGGGCGGTCGGGTAGCCTAGTGGTTAAAGCGTTCGCTCGTCACGCCGAAGACCCGAGTTCGATTCCCGACAGGGGTACAATGTGTGAAGCCCATTTCTGGTGTCACCCGCCGTAATATGGCTGGAATATTGCTAAAAGCGGCGTAAATCCATACTCACTCACTCACTCATGATGGATGATTACGATTGATTTTACGAGCACGACATGAGGGTACGATGACACTCAGTCAGTCGATTCACCGAGCTTGACCACATGAGCCTCTTCGTCGCATCACACGATAAGCTTAGTTAGATGTCGACCTATTCTAATCAGGAATTTTGACTTTGGAAAGTAGTTAACCAGTATGTTTAAAACAAACAATACCATTTATCCTTTAATCATGAAAAACTTAAAGCTTTCTAATGCTCTGATAAGGCTGCATTAATAAACTAAATGTTTTTAAGGTAAAAGTGAGGAGGAAGTAGGTCAGAATTGGAAAGCAAAATTATCTTTTTCACACCAAAGCATACCAACAAGTACAGAGCACACACTTAGCGTGGCTTATTAACACAATGTCAGTCGAGGATACTCAACGGTCTGCGCATATGATGCGGGAAAGTTGGGACGCATTGACTGCCCAGAAAACATCACCTTGTCTTTTCAGCCTAATCATTGAGAATACTATTCTAGCGAGAGGGATTATGTTGTTTCGCGTCAAAGTGACGGTATTGCAGTTATGTCGCAAATCACCGTAATTAAGGATGTGTAGGGGAACACTCCACTGTGATGACAGATTTGCATGTCTTGCATAGCAACCATCAGATAACCAGATGGAGAAGGAATGCTCTTTCACAAACCCCGTAATTTAGGGAGTGTATGTAAGATGACTATAATCGTCCCAGAGAGTGAGTGAGTGAGTTTGGTTTCACGCCGTTTTAACAGTATTCCAGTTACATCACAGCGTGTCTGCATAATGTGTGAGGAAAGCCCGAAGTGATGCAGGTCTTAGACGTTTACCACTTCGGCGAAACCAACGAGCACGGGTATGATGCTGACAAACTTGGGGCGAACCGGGATTGAAACCCACAATCTTATGTTTCTGGCGTGCCCATGAGACGCAACTCTGCACAGCGAATCGCGGCGCCCTTGACGACTGGGCCACCCGTGCCCCCTTCATCCCAGAGAAACCTAGTGAGAAGGTCTGACCACATTGCTATGGGTGACAATTTGTCATTGTCACGTTGGAAAGATGACATGACCCACGTCGATTTGTGTTGTTACACAAGATAGTTGTTTAAGTCGCCTCGTTTCTTTTACCTCTTGTTACACATTGAGCACAAGATTGTGCTCAATAGCTCAATCAAAATATACATTCATATAGCGTCATCATCTGGTTAGAAACTGCTGAAAAGTGATTACAGGATGAGCCTCTCTCTCTATCTTTGATCAACAAGTGTAGTTGTCTGGGAACCTGTTTTAACCCAGGAACCCCACTGACAGATTCATGTATCCTGGATGTCGACTGCCGAGTTATCTTGTTATCATTCAGGTATCACACCAAGCATTGCTTCAGAGAACGGTGAACCCTTTCATCATTTAATGCAAAGACTTCAGTGGAGAAGAGTTGCTATCTTACGACATGGGAACAATGGTAATTTTACCTTATCCTTTTCAGTTCATCTACACCTCTGATATGCTACATATCCATTTTATCCAACGTGATACGTTTCTCGTATAATATTACTTTCTAAAATTTATTTGTAATATAGATATGTATACACCTTACCTTGAAACTGAAAAGAATTGGAATGATATAAATACTCTTTCCAGAACACTACACGACTAAATATCAACCAGTCGAGATCCGGTGAAGAATAGGTCTTCGGCAACCCATGCTTGCCGAAAAAGGCGATTAACGGGATCGGATGGTCAGATTCGCTGACTTGGTTGAAGCATGTCATCGATCCAAATTGAGTGGATCGGTGCTCATGATGTCAATCACTGGACTGTCCGGTCCAGACTCGATTATTTACAGACAGCCGTCATGTAGCTGGGATATTGCTGAGTGCGGCGTAAAACAACAAAACAAACAAACAAACAAACATTAAATATCAAAAGTACTAGAGATCTTCACGCTTTAGTTGAGAGTGAACAGGGAGTTGCTATTTTACACCCTGGAATGGTGATGGCCTTATCAGCACAACTGTAATCTGTAACGTGTTAACAAGTAAAAGACACGAAAACACCTTGTAGCATTTGATTTTTAGGAGATTTGTAGTAGATATGTTTTTGATTTAGGGTAATCACGAGAGGAAGTATGTTTTGCTTGTTGGTTTGTTTGATGCCATAGGTAGCAATATTCCAGCTATATGGTAATAAAACTATAGATAATACAACATCCACACCATCATGACATATAGCGAATCTCACCCAAGTGTCTTTTGATATCAAATATATCAACACTAGTTGATAAAAGTGGAGAAACTCCTCGGTTTCCACTTTTAACAACGAGTGTTGATATATTTGATATCAAAAGACACGAGGATGTGATTATATTTATCATCCAACATCATTCTTGCAACTTTTTCAGTTTGTAGACAGTAATAAACAGTGTCTTAAGTGTAAAAAGTACTGCTAACAGCTTCAGTTGCAGAGCCATTAGTGATGTCATTTGATTGTGACGTCATGGTAACCAATGACGTCACAATGATCTGCAAAGCATTGTGATGCAATTTTATTGTAGCGATATCTACAATTTTGATATCGCTTGAATTCCCCCAAGTGATGTCTCCTGTTGGAGGCAGTTTTGGATGATAAATATGTAGAATACTACACTCGGTCTTATAAGTTACGATTCTTTCAAAAGAAGTGAACGTTCTATGGTTTCTGACCGAGCGAAAGCTAGATCCCATAGAACGTTCTCTTGTTTTGTAAAAATAGCATCTTACTTGAACGAGTGTTGTAGTTTATTTATTACCAACACTTTGATGGACGAAAATAGCGTTTTCTTTACTTTACGGCAGGCTCAAACTCTGGTTGCGCACGAATAGTAAATTGCCCAAATATAGAAATGCTAACTTACACATTGGTAAATGATTCCAGTTCCTGTGTGTGAATTAGGAGATAAACATACTGTGTTTTCAATGTAGAGCTAGGTTACCTGTAGATTTAACCGCGCTAAATTGAATTTGGAACCGAATGCTCAGCGGCCGTTTCAATCAGAGGGGGCTTATTGTGATTTAATAGCCTCTGATCGACCAATCAGAATCGAGTAAATTCCAAATTCATGGTAGAATAATTGACAATGCAGCTCATGTCAGTAAATAACAGTGATAATTTGGAGAGTAAACTAACTGAAATGTGTATAATGTGTACACAACTGACAAAGAACAAGTAAAAAGTCAACGTCGCCTCCAATTTGAATTTCGGCCACTCACACTGCCGGTATATTCAACGGTCAGCATTCTGAACATTATTGTCAGTTGAGCTCGTTTCCAGCCTTAGAAATCACTGTGACCACATAAGTTAAGGTTTATCTTCCTTCACATATGGGAGCAGAGAAAAAGGAATTGACAAAGTCGCACCGAGTTTGCTTGGGATGTGCCTAGGTCATAACAATGACAGATCAAGAGGTGGCTCGTGAAGGGCAAGGTCACGGCGAGAGATGGAACAGATCATGGTAGTGTTTGTTTGTTGTTTTACGCCGCACTCAGCAATATTCCAGCTATATGACGGCGGTCTGTAAATAATCGAGTCTGGACCGGACAGTCCAGTGATTGATGTCATGAGCATCGATCCAAGCAATTAGGATACGATGACATGCATGAACCAGTCAGCGAGCCTGACGACCCGATCAAGTTAGTCGCCTCTTACGACAAGCATAGTCACCTTTTACGGCAAGCATGGGTTGCCAACTGCGTGGATCGATGTTCATCATATTAATCACTGGATTGTCTGGTCCAGACTCGATTATTTACAGACCACCGTCATATAGCTGGAATATTGCTGAGTGCGGCGTTAAACAACAAACCAACCAACCAACCAATTGCGTGGATCGATGTTCATGATGTAAATCACTGGATTGTCTGGTCCAGACTCTATTATTTACAGACCACCGTCATATAGCTGGCATATTGCTCAGTGCGGCGTCAAACAACAAACCAACCAAATCACTTAGTGTTTGAGTAGGAGTGAGTAAAAAGTGAGCTGATATAGGTAGCGGAGTCTAAGAGACTTTAAGGGTGTATCCCAAGGAAATGGGGTCTAGTTCGAGTCTGCAGACCTTTGAGAGACAGTCTTAAGCCTGGATAAGAAGAAGATTCAACGTTTACATTTCATATTGATCAGAGATTCTATTGGGCTTTTGTGTTTCAATTTAGACAATTACACAACTATAACCCTACTGCTAGAATATTGATATCAGTGGCGTAAAACTATACTTAGTCTCTAACTATGATGAACGAAACGTTGGTGTCTTATGCCTGCCTTTGTTTTCATTCACTAGTATATGCAATCTTTATAAACGCATTACTCTTTTGACATGAAGGACAAATGCTTTGATTTATTGTTTCAGAGAATGACTGTTCAGGACCTGCTCGTATCCAATCTTTGACCAACAGCATCCAGTTTCTTGTGTATGACCTCAGCATCATGGATGCGAATAATACCTTACAGGAAATCCACGAGGCTCTCTTCCCAGATATACACGTCGTTGCTTCTATGAGTCATAGGCATATGACCGAGTTGATGAAAATGGTTTGTTTCAATATATTTAGCTTTATATGGTATCCTCACCAGCATATCGTGTGTAGAATGAAGTTATATGATCCTGTAATGGTGTTGAAAAGTTGCTGTGGAAGGATACAATGGCCCCATGAAAATGGTTTATTTAAATATTATTAGCTTTATATGGTATCCTCACCAGCATGTCTGCACGACCGAGATACGAGAGAAATTACCTCGTTGTTATGAAGAAGGAGTTTATATGATCCTGTAATATAGCTAAACAATTTTATCCTTCCTTGTGGAAGGGTACAATGGTGACCCGTGAAGATCCGGGATCGAATAGGTCTTCAGCAACCCATGCTTTGCGTAAAAGGCGAATATGCTTGTCGTAAGAGGCTACTAACGGGATCAGGTGGTCAGGCTCGCTGACTTGGTTGATGCATGTCATCGATCCCAATTGCGTGGATCAATGATGACGATATCAATCACTGGATTGTCTGGTCCAGACTCTATTATTATAGACGTCTGTATGTAATATATGTATTATTAATGCACTTCCCGTCACGATATGGCTAAAAATACTGCCGATGTGACGTTAAATCTTACTCACTCACCCAGAAGGGATTGAAAACATCCGATAGACTAATTATGCTGGGATTACAAGCAAATAATACAACAGATGTACTCTGACTTATTTTTTCTTTCAATCCTATCTCTTTCAGTAACATTTCTCGTATAACAAGGTCGTGACCTTGAATGAATATGCCCATATATATAAAATGACGTTATATAAATGAAATTGTATGAATGGAATTTTAGTTTGAAAAGATTGTTTTCCTCAATGCTGACACAGGGGAGGGAAATCATTTGCTACAATACATCCCGGTCCTATCTGAGACTAGGCCGAAAGTCAAAATGTTTGAAATTTGTGAAAAAATATAATTTCATTGGATGTCTATTTTTAGCATTGTGTCATTTGAACAGGACTGAGGTAGGGTATATACTCTAATGGATTGGAGATTCGAAATACAAAATAATCGAGGATGTTACTTGTGCCACTGTGGCCACAGTAAGGTGATACCTTACACTTCACTGAAACAGTGTTCAGAGCGACCATGAAGCAAACGAAATGTTTCTCCCGAATTGAAATGTAAAATTTGGACATTTATCTGTAATATGATCGCCTATTTGACATTACAGAAATCATTGTGATTTAGGTCGACTCTTTCGATATAAAGACAAGGGGAATGACTGATTTTCGACATCATTCAAAGTGGCTACTTCTTCACAAAGAAGAGAACACCGTTGATCTGCCGGAGTTCGTTTACTTGGAAAATGTTGTAGCAGTGCTGCATCATTATAAGGTATGTATGCTCAATTAATTGAAACATTTGCGTTTGATGGTGGTGCATAACTGTGCAGAATGTTATCATTCATTAGTCTAGATATCTGTCTATGTAATTGTTTGGCTACGACAGACATACATCTGATGAACTTGCGTTTTACACCTTGATACTAGCCAAACTTAGTGTGACTCTTAACAGTCTCAAAAGTGTACCTGCATGAGATGATAGTTGACTTTAGAATATCTCTTGTTTCACAACATCCTACATTTTCTTACACTGCAGTTCTTTGGGATTGGTGTGTTAAGTGTCTACAGTCTGCACTTTAGTGTTGTGTCATACCAGATACGGGATTTTAATGTTATTCCATGCCATCTTGACTGCAAAGTATTTTCTAATCTTTCTTTCAACTCGTGCTTCATATCTTTTTAGTGTTGGATGCAGAGCGTTCTTACCTTAAAACATCACCTTCCCCGAAATGAGTGGGTACCAGTAGCCGCTTGTACCCAAAGAAACATCAACCTGTGCTATTTTCCTAATGCTGCCTATGGCTACAACAACAGACGTTTGTTGGTGACTACTCTCGAGGTAACAATGAAAATATTCCACATGGTAAATGACTCACCTAGCCGTTGTCATAGATATGCTTGAAACCAGGAATATTGCTCTCACCTGTTGTGTTGCGTTGACCTTCGTCTGCCCATCCACAGTTGAAGTTTTTATATCTCGTCAAAAAGGACATGAGAGTAAATCTTTGCATTGATGAGCCAGACTGTCGTGTCTCTATAACTACTCACATAATTCCGTTATGGTTTTATAGACAGCGGTTTTGGCCCGGTATTCCGCCATTTGTGAATGTATCTTTATAACATTGATGTCCAGCAAGTATGCAATATACAGAATATTATATATGCATATGTTTGTCTTCATATTTTATGTTTTATGTTTTATGTTATGTGACGCACACATGACCCATAGCCTTCATGTTATGTAAAAACACTGTATATGTTCAATTACTGCATTCTTGACATGCTCGGACACCCTTAGTTTAAAAAAGCAGAAGAAAAAAACCAGCAATGCTGTCCGTGAAGATTCCCATACTTGCCGTAAAAGGCCATACTGCTTGTCGTAAGAGGCGACTAACCGGATAGGGTGGTCAGGGTCGCTGACTTCGTTGACGCATGTCATTGTATCCCAATTGCAGTGCTTAAAAATATAAAAAAAATGATTAAGATTGTTGAAAAAAAGAACAAAATTGTCTGTCACAAAAAATACATTGTTGCAAGATGTTTCCAAACAAATATTATTTAGGCTCATATTTTTAATGTGCAATCTTTGTGTTCCAAAGGGCAATAACTCTCCTTTTGAATGATAAGCGACAGTTTAACCTGTTGCTTCAAGAATGGCTCCCGGATGAATGTGCACTGCGACAACTAGTGACACGTAGAGACGGAGCAAAGCTAGATTATTACCTGTTGCACCTACATTCAAAAACGGTCGTTTACTGCTTAATATGTTTAACCAGCACATTTTGTATTGATTTCTTGTTTAGAATATCAACATTCTTCCGACGAAAACACGCATTAACGCGATTGACCACTACCGGAAAAACGCCATGATAAATGATACATTTCCACGTCATTTTCTACGTCAGAAAACATCATGGTATTATGTCAGTCTGGGGCAAGATATCGCATCGACGATTTTTTTATATCAGTCTATGTGTTATTTCCCTCGAAAAGTCTTTAACTATTGCAGCGTTCAAATCTTAACAAGTAATTTTCATACTACCATGGACTTAAATGTTACAAACTTGGAAATAAAAGCCTCCATTGCAGCACACGCCAATGACAGGCCTTTTCCACGGATCAGTTATGATCATACATCCGAGCATTAACGACTTAATTTACTAAGAAATAATGTTCAGAATAAAACAACTGATTTTAAATGTAACATTTCCTCTTGCATCTGATTTCTTTGTTTTTATTCTGACAATACTTTCTGGAAATATTTAAAATGACAACCTACAATGCATTTATTAACCAATCAGTTACTAATTTGCAATATACATACCAGTCAACATAGTTGGAAATAAAAGTTTTAATAATATTTTTCTGCCCCTCATAAAATATGTCCCATCTTTTAGTGTAGGCTGAAATAATGCCAATGCGACGTTAAATCTTAACTCACTCACTCATACAGTTGAGGATAAAGCTTTGTACCTACAAACAGCAAATCGCACTGACTATCCCACAAAATGTGTATGATACATATATAGATGTAAATAATTGGTGTCTGTTCTTCTTTTGGTCACATAAGTTGAGATTCAACTTACAACTCGTGCACTATGCTGCTATATCTATACATCCTTATTTTCACTCAACAGTACTTCAAGACACGTGTAGCATTAAGCAAATATGAATAAAGATAAGTTTGTAATCGACAATTTTTATCAAGACATTAATGCAAATTTAACCCCACTATCACTCCATGCAGAAAATCTAAATGCATATTTTATGTTATGTATATGATACAACCCTCATATTTGTTCTCATATGGACGATAGAATTTATTCCCCCATGTTTCAGACATCAGTGTATGTTTGGAAGTCCACCAACAATGGAACAACGCAGTATACAGGATATGCAATAGATATCCTAGATACAATCGCCGCTGTCCTAAATTTTAGGTAAGAACCGTTAAGTTATTTATCGTTCCACCTGACCACTATCAATAGTTTTATTGTAGTTCTCTTTATGTCTCTTTATTGAATGGGAGATTGTAGTTTGAGAGTAAAAGGGTACCTGTATGAAGAATTCGTCTCCTTTCAGTTACAGTATGACTGAACCTAGGGATCAGTCTTGGGGACTTCCTGTCAACGGAATCTATGATGGAATTGTGAGGCAGCTAAACAGAACGGTAGATTGACTTAAGGCCTTTGCATTTTATGTATTGCATGACTTACCCTGAAACTAAAATAAATACGATCTACATATACGTTTTATGCCAAAAGTTATTGTAGCCCAGAGTAATTACTTGTATATGATATTGTAGGAAGTAGGCCTTGCCGTTTGTGGCCTGACAGTAAATGAAGGCTAAATGCGGACTGAATCCGGACCGAGAACATTGACGTGTTGGCAATGCTACTAAACCTTTCCTTTGAAAACATAAATAATGAACCAACTTAAACACTGGGTTAACAAAATGCAACTTCGTTGGAGCGCATATTTGAATTGGTCTGATCTACCCAGTAGTTTATCGCAAGTTGCGACCTAAAATGGATTGTGTGACTCGGTGACTTGTTCGCATACCTATCACTGAGTCTGATGACGTGGAACGTTTCTCTTGTCTTTTCAGTCAGTGGACTACATCTATTTAATGATGATACTTATACATAAATATATGAGATAAGCATATACGTAAATGCCAAAATAAGACAAGTTCATTGTAACCCAGAATAATTATATATATTGTAGGAGGTGGACCTTGCCGCTTGTGACCTAACAATAGATGAAGGCCGATCTGCTTTCATGGACTACATTTACCCGCCGATCAGGACAGATTACATGGACGTGGTGTATAAGAGGCATGATAAACAACGAACTACTTCTCTAATCCTTCTGTCTCTACCACTCAGACCTTGGGCGTACCTCATTCTGTTCCTGATGGCGGGATTATGTCCACTGTTGTTGGCTGTGTTCGAAAGTGTGGATTTCGGCTGGAACGAAACAGCTGCAGGCTCTGGAGATGTGGGCGTTACTTATGTGAAGAAAGTGAAACAAAGTCTGCTTTGTGCTTGCTGGGAGGTCACCGGATCTTTGTTGAAGCAGGGTATGTACAAAATGAAGTGCATCACGATTTAGGGTTTCTTATTATATTTTTATGCAAATCAACCAGTTTTGTGTTTATGTACATTTGTCATATATAGGAAATACATGGTTGACATATATCACAAGACAGATGTGCAGACCAAAAGCTTTTTTATATTTTCTAAATTTGATGGCTATGCAGTTTAACAAAGTGTACATGAAAACGTATGTGTATCCTAGGCCATAAATCATAAACACATTATTTTAACATTAATGTTTCAAGTTAAACTTGTGTAAGTACATTCTACTTTTACAATAGATGGAAAGTTGATGGATTAATCATGATGGCTGTGGTTCTAGTAATGAGGGGCAGTCGGGTTAAAGCATTCGTACGTCATGCCGAAGACCCGGGTTCGGTTCCCGACATGTGTACAATCTGTGAAGACCATTTCAGGTGTCCCCTGCCGTGATATTGCTGGAATATTGCTAAAAGCGGCGTAAAACCATACACACTCAATACTGGCAATGACTACAACTAGTTGTGCCTCCATTTCAGTGATGATTAGGGCTAAGCAGACTTTAAAATATGAGAATGGAAATATGTTCGAAATCTTGGGTCAATCGAAAGTGTTACAGTGGACATTTTTCTCGGAGATGCCTACTTACTTTTGTACTTGCAGGTTTTAGTAAATATCCTAGAACTCTACCCGGGAAGGTGTTAGTGACGTCATGGTGGATGTTGCTGATAGTGATGACGACAGTCTACAGTGCCAACCTGGTGGCCGCCCTGTCTGCACAGACTGATGTCAAACCTTTCTCTGACCTAGAGGGGCTTCTGGACAGTGACTATTCTGTTGGTACGAGAGTTCGAGGAATGAGCCGTCATGTGATAAAGGTATGGATTAGCTCACTACATGGAACAAATGAGTTTGACTCAGTGCATGGAAAGTTTACGAGACAAAAGATTATATTTTGCTAAAATACATGTTTATCATATAAAGATGTAACAAAACTGACGTCAGCTAGGAATACATTATGTTGTACATATAATTTGATATATTCAAAAACGAAACTCTTTCAATGGACACAACGACTGTGCCTTGATTATAATTGAAATAAGTTAATCTATTCCACATTAAGGACAGGGCGGTGCCAGCATGTCGTGAGTGAGTGAGTGAGTTGGGTTTAACGCCGCTTTTAACAGTATTCCTGTTATATCACGGCGTGTCAGCTTAATGTGGGAGGAAAGCCCGAAGTGATGCAGGTCTCATACGTTTACCACTTCGATGAAACCCACGAGCACGGGTATGGTGCTGACAAACCTAGAAACATAATCTGGGCGAACCGGGATTCGAACCCACAATCAAAGGTTTCTGGCTGGACGCAACTCTGCACAGCGAATAGCAGCGCCTTAGACGACTGAGCCACCCGTGCCCCCGCCAGCATGTCGTGATTCTCTTCTTCTATGACATGAATAGTATGAATGGTAACTGAGCATCTGTCCTCGAGGAGAGACACTGTGATTTATTTGATTTTTTTAGCCTAGTTGCTAAATAGTTGTGTACACTGTATGAATGTATTAATTTCTGATGAAGTTTCTCACTGTCAGTCAAGCCTTCCATCAAGTGTCAGTGGAAGGATTTGGGCCAAGATAGCTTCCAACGACCCCGTGTTTCTTGACTCCAATGTTGAGGTTCATTTAAAAAGAGTGAGAAGTGAGAAGTATGCCCTTGTGGAGCATGCCTCAATTACAAACCGCCTAATGTCTGAAGACTGCCAATTGGAGCTTCTAGGAGAAAGTGTACTGTGGTTACACGTGGCATTTGGATTGCCTCAAAGGTCCCCCCTGAAAGCCGACTTCGAGAACGTGTAAGTTGAGATAAAATCTTCAGTCAACATCTATTAATCAAGTTTCAATAATTAAAACTGTACTGAAATACATAAAACGGAAACATTGCAACTATTAACTGGTAATTGAAGAATCCCAAGTTAATTCCTTGATGGCATTTAATAAATGTCACAAAAACAGATAACTAGTGGAATCGTATTATTGTGTATTTTGTGTGTAAATTCTACGGATAACATTTTACACAACATAAACTCAGCGCAATATGTGAATGTGTGCAAGTCTGTGTGTAAGCAGCAGAACTCGATTCTTTTTTGTCTCAATGGCAGAATGTCGCAGCTCACCGCGAGTGGCATACTGGACGTAATTTGGGCGAAATGGACTGTCAAGAGAAACCTGACACATTGTCCACAAAAACGAATCTTGAAGTCAATCACAGTGAACCAGATTGGTGGTGGTTTCATCGTCGTGTGTGCTGGGACCGTACTTAGTATTATTGTGTTGTGTCTGGAGAAACTGATACATTCAAGGCAAAACTGATTTACTTATGAATCAGTATCATCCTACGTGTACTACAGAAAAGAATAGTATCATAATGAAAGTAGCAAACTTTAGACAAAAGTGATGTTCCTGATGCATTAAATTAACAGATGAGAATAAGAGCAGGAAAAGAATTGTTCTATTTTAATAAATACTTTGGAGTCTTTGGAGTTGTGAGTTGAGCTAACTTGTGTTTGTTTCAATATCACATGTTGCATCATCATCATCGTCGTCATTTTCATTGTCATAGTCATTGTCATCGTCTTTGTCATCGTCGCAATTATCATCAACATGATCATGATTAACTACGTTCCCCCTGTCTGTGATAGGGTTGTATAAAGGAGTGCTCTTTACATCAATTAGAATAACATCATTCAACCAATGGTTAACTGTAATGTCACTGTCTGTGATAGCATTACGCAAAGAAATATGGTTTACATCAACTGTTGTGGAAACAGAAAGAAATATTGTTATGACAACTGTTGTGTCAACACAAAAACATATTGTTTACATCAACAGTTGTGGCAACACAAAGAAATATTGTTTACATCAACTGGTGTGGCAAGACAAAAAGAAATTGTTTACATCAACTGGTCTGGCAACAAAAATACATATTGTTTACATCAACTGTTGTGGTAATACAAGGAAATATTGGTTACATCAACTGTTGTGGCAAGACAAGGAAATATTGTTTACAACAACTGTTGTGGCAATACAAAGAAATATTGTTTACATCAACTGTTGTGGCAATACAAAGAAATATTGTTTACATCAACTGTTGTGGCAACACAAAGAAATATTGTTTACATCAACTGGTCTGGCAACACAAATACATATTGTTTACATGAACTGTTGTGGTAATACAAAGAAATATTGTTTACATCAACTGTTGTGTCAACACAAAGAAATATTGTTTATATCAACTGGTGTGGCGACAGAAAGACATATTGTTTACATGAACTTTTGTAGCACCACAAAGATATATTTTTAACATCAACTTTTGTGGCAACACAAAGAAATGTTGTTTCCATAAACTGTTGTGGCAATACAAAGAAATATTGTTTACATCAACTGTTGTGGCAACACAAAAAAATATTGTTTACCTCAACTGTTGTGGCAACGCAAAGGCATATTGGTCACATCAACTGTTGTGGGAATACAAAAAAATGTGTTTACTTAAACTGTTGTGACAACATAAAGAAATATTGGTTACTTCAACTGTTGTGGCGACACAAAGAAATATTGTTTATATCAACTGTTGTGGCAACACAAAAAAACTTTGAATCAGGACCTTGAAATGTGAAAGCCTGTCAAGTATAATGAGGAAAAGTTATCAGGTTATAATTAAGTTGACAGATCCTTTTTCTGTTGCGCAATCAGTTGTTAACTGCAGCCTGCACAGGTACAGTGGGCAATAAAACGAAATTGCAAACTGAAAAGAGTTCAGTTACTATCACATGTATGAAGACAATATTAACCGTAAAACATGAAAAAAAAACATGAACACAAAAGTTATTAGTTGTTAGGAATGTTGGTGCGTTCACGGTGAGTCTTGTGAGTTCACGGTGATCCATAAAGACAGTGAGTGATAGGGACGTTTGGTAGAAAACACTGTACATTGTAGCCCTGGTAGTTGTCACTATACGCATCATTGTTTTATGTGAAGTTGATAAACACTGCAGAAGTAAGGTCAAGCTGAAATAATAGCAACAAATGAAATAAGTTGTTAGGAATGTTGTCATGATTAACATTATGGTACCTCTCCCAGCCACATTGAATGCATTTTCCTGTAAGGCACTCAATTCATCAAATACCTGGACACACTCCCCATAGTACTTGGGGCCTCTTAGAAATACCCGTATGACAGTGGCTGAAGGATAGTTCTTGAGAAATTGCATATTGTTAACCAATGATAATTGTTATGAATATTTATAATACATGATGAAATATATTTAGACATACATATTCTTAGCGATCTGTCCTACCCGGTGAATCCGATGACTATTTCCTTGTGTTGTCTTGGCATCTAGATGTGACAAATCCGTTCTGTCAGGCACGTATGTGCCATGTTTGTTGATAGGTTTTGTTGCTCTGGCCGTCTGATCTGGTTGGATATGATAATACCATCAATATTATCAAAGCCTTTATTGAATTTTGAACATCAGCCAGGTTATTCTTGCCCAAATTGCCGAATAATGGCAGCTTGGAACTCGCACTTAGAGTGATACTACTCTTGTTAATAATTGACAGCAGCTGAAATGATAAACCAAGCACACTGTATACTTCAAATAATCATTATTGTATGTAATACGTCTGTCTGACATGATACGTTTTTCCATATACTTGATTGGATCTTCATGGATGGAAGTTGCGGGACGACCAAACCTAGGGGCATCATCAAGGCTTGTTCTACCAGCCTTAAACAGTGGAATAGCTAGGGCACTTATCCCCATACACTTGTGACATGCAGTCTTGAATTTCTTGGGGAGTACTTTTGTACGAAGTAAAAAAATTGATGACTGCTCAGTACTAGTTCTTTTCCATTTCTCTGTCCATTTGAACCCAAATCACGTTAACTGGCTGTCACTAATATATGAACGGCCTCAACAGACCGACTAAACGTGCAATGAACTACTCAAACAATGTACTAGACTGACTATTTCACTTTTTGTTATGGCCCTTGGTTGAAAGTTAGCCAGGCTTTGAACTTTTTCACCAGCCCTCATATAACAAGTCTGTGCTTTCTTTATAATAACGACACACAAGGACATAGAGAAGTACTTAAGCTCTCAAGTCTACATATTTACAATTTAAATGAAAGTATTAAACATTATAGCTCTTTTTCACCTGAATCCTTAAAAATCGATGAGTTGTGTAAAACATTTATAAAAAATAATACCCTTAAAGAGATTTGCCAACAAAACATGAATGAAGTGCTTTAAGGCCAAACGCTGACAAGACAGAGGAGAGGAATTCTTGACCATCACCTCAGAAATTAAGAGGTAAAAAAGCGGAAATCTGGACAAAACACAGAGTTCAAGGTCACAGTTATTCAAAAGATTACAGCGAAATATCAGAAAGCCAAAGTGGAAAGATCCCTGAAAAGCATGAAACAACTAAACATAGCCATTTCCAGATTGCACCAATTCATGAGAAATTTACTTAGGACTTTCTTCATTGAAATTAACTGTCGGCAAAAGTCCATCAAAAGACAGAAAACAATATCTTAATATTGCTTTACCAAATGCACCAAGTTGATGCAGCAGATGTTGTGGAGAAATGTGTATCAGTCAAGAGGAATTAACTTACTGTGGACATGATGTGTGATAAACTCTGTTTCATTAACAAGAGCACCAGGTCCATCTGTTCTGAGAACCAGATGGGTTTAATGCCGCTTTTAACATTATTCCAGTTATATCACAGGGTGTCAGCTTAATGTGGGAGGAAAGCCCGAAGTGATGCCGGTCTCAGACGTTTACCACTTCGGTGAAACCCACGAGCATGGGTATGGTGCTGACAAACCTAGAAACATAATCGGTGCGAACCGGGATTCGAACCCACAATCATAGTTTTCTTGCGTGCCCAATGGACGCAGGTCTGCACAGCGAATCGCGGCGCCTTAGATGAATGGGCCACCCGTGCCTTCTAATCCTCTACACGAAAATCTCTACCAAACAAAATCATCTCTTATTCCACCTCTTGGAATAAGAATACAATCTCATATTTCTGCTGCGCAAATAAATCTTAGACACATTGCCCCCACTCAGCTTTTCTCTTCTCCACCATGGCAGTTTGTAAAGCCAGAGGTGGACCTAACATAAACTAAAGTGAAGAAATCTGACACAAATCAACTACTTTATCAACAACAATATAATGAATTACGAAGCACTTATGCTACTTACAAATCTATATTTACAGATGGATCCAAAGATGGTGACGCTGTTGCCAGTGCCACTCTCATTGGATCCAGGACTATCTCATCCCGATTACCAGATAACTGTTCTATTTTAACAGCAGAAGAAAATGCTATTTTAACAGCACTTAAATACATCAACAGCCAATGTGAATATAAACAGTTCATAATTCTTTTTTCATTCTCTTTCTTGCCTCCAGGCTCTTAAAAACATGTCATCCACGCATCCACTTATAATTGAAATTGTTGAATTGTTAATTGATCTTGCTACTGGCCAATGCGCGTCGTTTTCTGTTGGTTACCCAGCCATGTTGGAATCACTGGGAACACAATGGCCGATGCTGCTGCAAAAGCAGCACTCAACAAATGTGTGACGCTACT